CCAAGGAGTGGAAGATGTAATGCCTTCTGAATTTGAATTTGCTGGTGTATTTAGGGAACCAACCCATTTCAGTATCCGGAGTTATCCAGTTAAAGCCACTAAGAGCCTTTCATGGAAAAATGAAAAGCGCCCTTCAGATGTGATCTTTGTTGTTCTTGCATTAGCCTGACATTGGGAAGAGTTGGGGAGCAGGGAGCCTCCAGAGTAACGAAGGCTGGGTACCCCCTGGCAGGATGCTAATATTCCAGGAATTTGTAGTGTGATCTGCAGCTCTGAAAAGTCCAGGACTTTTCCATTGTTTCTTTTGGAAGCAGTGCCTTGAGTCCTGATTTAATGCCGTGAACAACTTAAAGCCAGAAAGGTTTTATTTTTATAACTTGCTTCCAAGATTACAGTTTTTGGTGAGTTTCACTATAGAAAAGACTTGAAATTATGTCCAAGGAACTTAGCAGCATTTTTTACTATCAGCCAATTTCAGAGCTATTTTAAGCGTAAGAGGAATGCTAGGAGACGTATAGGTGGCATGCTGCGGTCGTCACGACTCGGGTGGCCGGTTTCGCTGGTCTGTGCATCCGCTAACCTGGTGTGGCCACTTGTGACACTCCTGATGGTCCCGTGGGATGCCTCTGTGTGTGATGCCGCTGACCTGGCGAGGCATTTCTCTGGCCAGTGTCAGGCACAGCACTCGCGGGGATGGCTGCCCCAGGTCCCGGGTCCTGTCCTGTGAGTGACCCTGGAGGATTTCAGGGTGGCCAGGCGTTTAAGCCTCATCAGGGATTTGAAATGGGCCATTTGTCGCTTGTGTAAGGCTGAATTGTGTGCATGTGCTTCTGGCCTCTTCTTTCCCGCCCTGTTTACACCCACCCAGGAGCCCTGACTTCCCTCTGAACCCAGGCGTTCAGTGTGTCGCCGGTGCCGGGCGGCCTGCTTTCTGGGATCTCAGCCCCACCTTCCAGGAACCGGGAGTCTGTATGGTGCCCGTGTGCTTATGCCCAACTTCCCAGTCCTGCCTGGAGTGCCGGTGCCGTGTCCCTGCTGTCTTTTGGGGGTGGAATGAGAACTCAGGCGAGTTGCTGACTGACAGGTTGCTGAGCCCCGGGCTTGGGAAGCAGATTAGACGGGGTACAGGTTGTTGCTCCAAACTGGCCGAGAAAGTGGGGGTTTTAGCACGAGAGGATGTATGTGCAAGACGGTGTTTGTGAAGTGGAAGGCAGATGGATGCCACCTCAAGGCTCCTTCTCCAGACCCACGTTCCTCTGACCGGTTAGCGCAGCTGCGCAGCCCCACTCCCCGGGGTCCAGGGCCCTCAGCCTCGCCCAGCGCTTTTCCTAAGACTCTTCTACCTGGAGGAGAGCTGGGCTTCACGCTTCGGGTTTCCAGTGGGGGACCCCGTACTGGTGGCAGGAGAGGAGGAGACTGGGGGAGGAGCAGCCCTCAGAGGGAGGCTAGGGGCTGTCCTGAGGCTGGCGAGTGGTTGTGGGAACATGGACTCTACCAGACCATCAGGTGTGAAGGGGATACTTGGGGTAAATTATGTCCGAAAGGGTTCGTGATGGTTGTGAGGTCAGAGGTGGCAGGTGGTGCTGTGAGAGAGGGGAGGGTGCCCTGGGGCTCCTGTGTGGGAGCAGGTGGAGGTGCAGGCACAGCTCCTGTGGGCACGGGTGCTGGGGCGGCCCTTCCTGGCGTGGTGGGGCCTCTCATGGATGCGCCCACCCCCACCCCCCCGCTTGGGAATGCATCTTAGGCCTGCCCTGCCGCCGCTGCCACCTGGCACTGGGACATCGTGCTTCAGAGGCAGGAGGTGTGCTGTGGTTCCAGATTTAATTCATTTCAACTACCAAAAGCACAGGCCTTGGTGGTGATGAATTTTTATGTTACATGAAGAAGCTGCTAGAATTTTGCGTTTCCTCCAATGCCTGAACGTTTTAAAGTGAAAGATTATTCTCTAGAATATTCTTGTGTTTGTCCAGTTTACTAGAATAGCAGAACATAGTCCAGACCCAGGTTAAATTATTCATGTGATGCTTTAGGCAATTTTGGTTTTGCAACTTAAATTCCACGCAGCAGTGGAAAAGTGCTCCACACTGCCTTTAAGTAGTCGTCATGGCTGTCGGGTTTCTCTGTTTTGTTGGAAAATCAAGTTTTATTGATGTTATTTAATGGCGAAGCAAATTTATTAACTTGCTCAGATGGAGTTCTGCGCTTTTGAGCAATAACTTTCTTCTGACATAAGATAAAATTGAAATGGAAAACAAAATACATTCCAGTTTGTTGTTCTTTTGCTACAAATGCAGTGCAAGCCTTTATACTGCTTTATTTTCCCCATTTGTCCATGGAACCAAATGAAATGATGGCTGTAAAGTGCTTGGTGAAGAATAAAATATTCTTAGGCCATTATTGGTCTTAAATAAATGCTGTAGGAAGAGCGTGGATAGCCTGGTCATCTTAGGGTTTTCCTGTGAACTGATTGAGTTGTGGGCCTCCGGCAGGTGGCACCTCATCTTTGGGTGTCTTTGTGGTGTGGGAAGGATCGGCCTTTGGGTGCTTCAGCAGGATGGCACCTGGTGCTGCGGCCATGGTTGCTGAGGGCGCAGGCTTGGCCGGGCCTGAGTGAATGTCCTGCTTTGGTCACCCAGCAGCAGCTAAGACCCTGCCGTGTGGAAAAGAAGTGCCGTTTCCTTCTGTTTCACCCCATTTTCTTCATCTTGTATGTGTGGTGTGTCACACCATCACATTGCTACTGTACCTTCCTGTGTTTCATTCCTGTCTATCTTGTTTAGCCCACACGGAGCGCAGCTGACAGTGGCCCTAGGTGGGGCCTTCAGGCAAGTGCACGCAGGTGCTTACCAGGCTCATGGGGGTGCTGCCCTCACCCCCGCCCAGGCACCCCACCCCACTTTGTAAAAGCCACTGACAGACTATTGTGGTTTTTATTTTGTTCTAATTTGATTACCTGTGGAACAAGATAATAAGTATCTGGGGAAAGATTTACTGATTTGAGGGATATGTAGCAGGTTGTAGCACCTGCTGTGGCGGTGTCTGACCCTGCGAGCCAGGCACGCCGAGCGGGAGTCAGGTTAGAACAGCCTGGCTCTAACTCCATTCTGCTTGGGCTCGTGAGCCCCTCTGAATTTGTCTGACCTTGAAAAATAGCCTTTCCCCCTCTAGTCTGCGGTCTTCCTGGAAGTAACTCAAGGGTTAGATGGCTCCAGCTAAAATCTGAGAAAATTGGTTCTTCTGTCAGATAACCCTCAGTTCCCTGAACGAGTGGTGTAATTAGATGTGCAGTACACTCATTTTTATCATAAACTGTCAGTGTTTACAACAAAGGTGAATTGCCCTGTTCCTTAGTTTTTAAAATTGGTTGATTAATGTTATTTGAATACTTTCAAATTTTTAAGAAATGTCTAAACTGCAGCACCCAGGTGACGCTTATTATGTAGGTTTAGCCCAGTGGCCACTTCTGGAGACTTCTGTCTGTCACAGCCGGGTGGGGGTGCACGGGGGTGGTGGGGAGTGTGTCAGGAGAGCTACTCATCATCCTCTGTTGCATTGGGCAGCCCCTCAGCAGAAGGAGCTCACTCCTTCTGCGCGGTGCTCCGGAGGTCCCGGCTGCCTGTTGCAGCCTGCAGTGGGGTGCACCGGTAGCCCCCTGACCAGGATGCAGGTGTCCCTACCCCCAGTCACCTCACAGGGCATCAGGGCTGCATCCCTGCAGACTCCTGGCATCTGTTCCCACCACAGCATGGCTCCAGAGAAGTGCGCGTGCTTGTGTCCTGAGTTCCATGTTAGTTCCATGTTAGCTGCCTTTCTTCCGGCAGACATGTCGGGAATTTATTTGAGCAAACGCGTACGTTGGTGCTTTTTTTTTTTTTTTTTAAAGGCTGAGGAATTAGAGATTTAAAATGGTATTTTGGGAATTTGCTTTTTAAGACCAACGGATTAAATGACTGGTTATTAAGGAACAAACTTTGTTTTGAGACGACTCGTTTTCCAAAGGGAAGGGAGAGTTCCAGGAGCTCCCGGGCTGGTAGGGCCCGCGGCGCAGAAGGAAGAGTGGGAGCTGGCCTTAATCTGAGAACTGGGAGGCAGAAAGTAGCAAGAATAAGTCCAGCTTCTGAGCAACGGGAAAGAAGGGTTGCAGGTTTGGTGACATCCCAGAGATACGGAGCTTCCGAGCCCTGCGGCCCTGGTGCTCCCCAGCGGGACTGCTCGTCCCCGGGGGGTGTCGTGGGGGACTAGTTCAGGGCTCCAGCTTGTCAGAATGTGTTGCATTTTAATCTTATCTTCTGAGCCCAGTATCGCTTGGAATGCAGTTCGTGTTTCCTGAGTTCCACCTTCCAAGTTGTTAATGGAATATTGACTCGTGCTGGACCCGGAGCGCCGAGCTGGCTGGTCGTGAATTATTCATAATTACTCTGCATTTGCTAGTTGAGCCACTGCGCACATGTGCGCCTCTCAGTGCGGCGGAATCTCTGCTCCTGTTGTTTCATGTTAACAATTACAGATAATCCTGTCGTGACTAAAAGGCCCAGGGTTTTACTGTTACGTTTTCCTCTAATGTGCTTCTTACAAAGGAGCAGACTTCTACCAGTTCCTTTTTTGTTGGTGTGGTATGGAAACTCATTACCTCATTTTCCTTTGACATCAATATTGTTAACTTTTCTGGAACAGAATGTCAGTACTTTCGATGGTTAATACAGCTGTGAGGGGACCTAATGCCCAGGAGTCTCAAAAATACGGGCTTTTATGGGTTCCTTTTTTCTCTGACATCACTTAAGAGTCTCCATATTCATCACCCCTCCCTTCAGGAATCTACAGTGATAATTGTCTAGAAATGCAGTTTGCTTTGATTGGGTTAGTAATTCTCTCCTTCAGGAATTCAGGGTGATAGTCAAGTGAATGAATGGGTAGATAAATACAAATAAATAAATATATATATATATATATATATATATATATACACACACACACATACATATCTCCCCATTATGTTTCAGGGAAGAAAAAATCCCAGGAAAATAAAAGCAAAGGAAACAAAACGGAAGATTCACAGCTGAAGACAAGTGAGCCCAATTCCACCTCTGCAAATATGAGAGATTCTGCGGAAGGTGAGCTGGGAGGTGGGGCCTGTGTGACTCCAGCGTCACCACTGGCTTGGACCCTGTGCCTCCTGGGGGCGTCGCGGGAGTCGTCGGCCAGGTGGGCGCGGAGGCTGCCTAAATGAGCTCTGCTGGCTGCCCCAGCCCTCCTCACTTTCAGAGAAAGTTAATATTTCTTCCTTGTTAAAAATGAAGTTACTGTCTGGTTAAACTAAAATGAAGCATACTATATGATCGCATTTATAAATAATTTATAAAGTTCAGAATCATCAAAGTCAGATTGACAGGCTATGAGGAGGCCTCTGGGGTGCAGGTACTGGTCCGCTCGTGATCTGTGGGGGGATATTTGCTTTTTGAGCATTACTTATGAACATTTTATCTTTCTAAATTCTTAGAATTCATATACCTTTTAGAAAAGTGTGCACTTTATGTATGTTTGCACTTCAGTTAAAAATTTACTTAGAAATATCAAGTAGCTTTGATTTTATATATCAGAATGAAAAGTATTTGATTTTATAATTTAAATTCCTATTTTATCTTGCCCTGCACCTCCCTTCCCCCGCCCCCACAGTTTTCTTTACAGTCTTTTCTGAGGATTCATTTGCTGGGCCCCTCCTGATGCGAGAAGTCCCAGAGAGACATGGATTGTGTGCCCACTGCAGCTGAGCGCCATATTGAGAGTCGCTGTTAGACATGAGGGGCCTGTGTCCTGATGTGTTCTGTGGCACATTTACTCAGAGACCCAAGCTTGCTCAGGAGTGTCCATAGTGACCCAGATAGGCAAGTTTCAAAATACAGGCTTGTGACTCTTAAGAAACATTTGTAAGGGCGAAAACCCAACAAAATATTTTGTGTCTTTTAAACCAGTTCTCTCAGCACTGCTTGTGGTGATGGCGTTCACGCAGCACTGCAGATAACATGGGCGTTTTATGAAGCCAAGAACCTTATAAAACTAAGTCCTGTCTACTGACAGCAGATTTGCTAAGTAAGACATGTTTCACCATCAACAACAGATACACTCAAGAACCTCCTACCTGTCGTGGCAGAATTAAAAAAAGAAATGGGTCCAGCAGCTCCCTGTCCTCTTGGTAATTCAAGACAGGTGGTGCTGTCGTCCTCCGCAGGCGTCTACATGTACTGGGCAGACCCTCCAGCGTCTTCCTGGTGTCCCCCAAACCTTCCTTTATGTAGAACTCACCAAGTGGGGGACACGCATGCATGTGGGTCTTTCTAGTTCGTTCATTCAGTAGAGTGGTATGTTTTGGTTCCTGTTTGGACAGTTTGACGTCTGGAACTGTTTACCAGTCACAGGAAAAGACACTCTTTCCTCTCCCCCCTCCCCCCATTAAAAGAAGCCACAGATGTTTGCTAAAAATGAAATCTGTAAAGAAATTTAAGATCCATAGTGATGCTATTTTCATTTTCTGTTCTCTTGACTTTTTTTTTTTTTTTTTAAAGTAATGTGCTGGGTCTTTGTTGAAGATGTATTTGGAAAGAGAGTTGACTCCTAGTTTGAAGGATGTCACCACCCCCAAATAACTGGTTTCCCAGTCTGTAGTGTAGCCTTGGAATTTATGAAATTTATCTAGGGGGAAAGGAGACTGGTTTCTATCTAGACGGAAACTTCGTTGCTGATAAATGTGGGCGATGAGTAAAAGTAAAGCAACTTCCTCAGAGACAGCAAGCAGGCTCTGCCACGGCCCTTGAGCCTGCGGTGATACCTTGCCTTTGCGGAGCTTGGGCCAGGTGGCCTTTGTAACTCCTCCTCCGCCTCCGGGTGCCCAGTCACCAGGCCTGTTAACAGACCTCTGCTGTCTCCTTCGTCTGGCGGCTTCTCCCGGACCCGACTGCTGCTTTTCATTTCCATCTCTGTGGGCAGCCAGCCTCTCCCTCCCAATACTCTGTATCCACATTGGTCTTCGCCTCTTGTCATGTCTTCCTCCCAACCCCTTCATCCACACTGCAGCCAGCTCCCCCAAATAGCTCTCTCCTGCTTGACAAGGCCTTAGTGGATCCCCACACTGCCCAGGTGAGCCTGGACTAGTTTAGAATGTGCTGCATATTTTGATTCCTCCCTGTTTGCTTTTCCACTTTCTGTCCTGGCCTTCAGATTCAGCCTGCTCAGTCCTTTCTCTGTGAAGCCATCCCTGATGAACTGTGTGCTATTAGATGTGCCCCACAGATGTGCTTCCACAGAAGAACCAATAATTTTTTTGCTTGCATGTGTTGCAGTGAGACCAAGGAACTTGCACAAGGCTAAGGAACTTGACAGCACTCTTTGTTCGGTGGGATGGGAGCGAGGTGGGGGTTGGGACAAGAGAGGTCAGCAGCTCTGCCTTTGCTGCAGAGCTTCTCCTCTGTCTTCAGGAGTCTGCAGGGAAAAGACCTGGTTCGCCGGAGACAGTGGTGACTGGCCTGTGCCAGCTCTTGCCTTGGAGCCCCTGCCGTCTCTGTGCTTCCCTCCAGCCACAACCCCATTCCTCTGCTTTCCTTCATAGTAAAACTTGAGTAGCTTATGGTTTCCCTGTCTCCCCTCCTGTTCTCTTAGGTGCGCTCAGGCCCTCGTCCTCACTGTTCACTCAGACTGTCATCGGCCCCCTTGGTATTAGGACGTTCAGTTCTGGGCCCATCTTCCAAGCGTGTCCGCTGAAGTTGTCCTTGCTTAGGAAGCTGGGGTGGCCACTCTCAGGGCTCTGCAGAGGCCTCACTGGCCTCTGAGCACCGGCGTGGTCTGCAGTCCTCCCGCCTTCTGTCTGCATCCGCTCTTGAGGCGAGTTTCTCTGGTCCCAGGCTATAAATGCCACTTCTCGTCTGAGGACTCGTACCCTTCTTGGAACTCGAGTCTTTGCTTTGCTATCTGTCGCGAATACCTCAAACCTCAGCACATCCAGAGAAAACCCTTAGCTCCCCTGTAGCACCCACCGCTGGGCCCTCTTTCCCTCAGTCCCCCGCAGTTCAGTCAGCAGGATCACCGCAGTTGCTCTGAGCCTCCCTGACCACAACCGGTCAGCACGCGGGTCCTGTCAGCTTCATCTCTGAAAGTGCCCAGTCTCCCCACCTCCCCCACACCACCTTCGTCTCTACTGTGCCCTTCTGGAGGGCACAGGGTGCCCCTCTCTTGCCTCACAGCCTCCACCTTGTCCACTTAGTGTTTTCTGTCTTCCTCACAGCAGCTGTGATTCTCTTGACTACAAGTAGGTCATACCCAGTTTCTGTGTTAGAATTTTCCAATAGTTCCGTGTTTCACTCAGAGCAAAGGCCAACGCCTTAGGTCCTATGAGAGTTGGCCTCTGGCTTTCTGATCTCATTCCTATCTCCTTCCTCCCTCCCCCTGTGACCCCAGCATCCCCCCAGGCTTCTCAGCTCCCGAACACATGTTTTTACTCACAGCTCGTGCACCTGCCGTTCCCTCCTCCAGGATGGCTCCCACCCTAGGTATTTGCACGACTTATCTTTAGGTCTCTGCTCCAGTGTCACCAGTGACGCTTCCCTGACCACATGGCCACTGGCTACCTCGGCTTAGCGTGGCTGGGCTTACCTTGGGTGGGCGTAGAAACTCAGAAGTGACTTCAGATTTTACTTGAGAGAATTCTGATTACCTGATTCTGGAAGGTGTTCTAGCTTCTAAATATTTAGTTTCAGGAAGGAGGGAGTCATTCTGTTCAGAGCAGACTTGCCTGACTCTGACTTGGCTGAGCACTTAGCCGTGTTCTCGCTGCAGTTGGAGTCACTTGATACTGCAATTCACAGCCAGTTTCCTGAGCTTCAGTGTCAGCTGCTCCAGCGCAGTCCCAGGCCCCGTCCTCTGTGCACAGTACATACTGACATACGCGTGCCGCTCCACACCGGAAAGGGGGGCAGTGTGTGGCTGGCTTTGTGCTGTGTATCCTCACTGTCAGCGTGGCGCCTGCGACGTAGCTGCTGCCCTGTATTTGTTGAGTGACTGAGGTGGATGCCTATCCCATACTCTATAAGGGAGAAGGTGGAGTTACTGTTGCCCCAGCTCCCCTCACACACTGTAGCTGGGAGAAGTCCCTTAGAGACCAGCCGCGGCCTCTCAGTGGCTGGTGTCCACCTCACCGCCGTGCCTCTGCTTCCTGTGCTTCCAGGTCCTAAAGAAGAGGACGAGAAGCCTGCAGTGGCCGCCATCGAGCAGACAGCGCCCCCGCAGGAGGCGGTCAGTCGGGATGCGCTTCCGGAACCGGTGATCCCTCCTCCCGCCTGCGAGCCTCAGACGGAGCCAGGTGAGACGCGCGAGGCCACAGGCTGTGAGACCCATGACTTGGAGGAGGAGGACGAGGACGACGAGGAGGACGACGAGGACTTGGAGGAGGAGGGGGAGGAGGACCCTGAGCTGCCGCGGGACGGCTCCGAGAGGGAGCCCGAGATTCGGTGCGACGAGCAGCTGGAGGATTTACTAGAAGAACCAAAAGATACTTCAGAAGAAACCCTAGAAGACTCGGCAGACGTAGCACCGGTTGCCACCACCCCCACAACGAAAGAAGAGGCCAATGGCGACGTCTTTGAGGCGTTCATGTTCCCGTGTCAGCACTGCGAGAGGAAGTTCACCACCAAGCAGGGGCTGGAGCGCCACATGCACATCCACATGTCCTCCGTCAACCACGCCTTCAAGTGCAAGTACTGCGGGAAGGCCTTCGGCACGCAGATCAACAGGCGCAGGCACGAGCGCCGCCACGAGGCGGGACTGAAACGGAAGCCCAGCCTGGCGCTGCCGTCCCCGGAGGACCCAGCGGACGGCCAGGTCTCAGGCGACAGCGCCGCCCCCAGGGCCGACTCGAACCCTCCTGGTCTTGGGCAAGACTGTCTGATCTTGAATTCCGAGAAAGCTGCCCAAGAAACAGTAAATTCTTCTGTTGTGGAAGAGAATGGAGACGTGAAAGAGCTTCATCCGTGCAAATACTGCAAAAAGGTGTTTGGGACTCATACTAACATGAGGCGGCACCAGCGGCGTGTTCACGAGCGCCACCTGATCCCCAAGGGCGTCCGGCGGAAAGGAGGCCTGGAAGAGCCGCAGCCCCCCGCGGAGCAGGCCCAGCCCGCCCAGAGCGTCTACGTCCCCAGCACGGAGCCGGAGGAGGAGGGGGAGGCCGACGACGTGTACATCATGGACATTTCTAGCAATATCTCCGAGAACCTCAATTACTACATCGATGGTAAAATTCAGACCAGCAGCAGCACTAGTAACTGTGACGTGATTGAGATGGAGTCCGGCTCAGCAGACCTGTACGGCATCAACTGCTTGCTTGCTCCAGTCACAGTGGCGATAACGCAGAATCTGAAGACCCCTCAGGTCCCTGCAGCAGATGACCCTCCGAAAGAACCTTCCGGCAGCACAAACCCTGAGTCCAAGAAGCGGAGAACTGCCAGTCCTCCTGCGTTACCCCAAATCAAAGCTGAAGCAGAGTCAGAGCCCACAGGGGCGCCCTCGTGTTCCTTAAGCCTGCCTCTGACCCTGTCCACCATGGAGGCGGTGTCTGCCCACAAAGAGAAAGGTGTGCATTTGTCATCGAAGCTCAAACAACTTCTGCAGACCCAGGACAAGCTGCCTCCTCCCGCGGGCATCTCTGCAACAGAGGTGCCCAAGTTGGGCCCGGTGTGTGTGTCAGCACCCGCCTCCATGCTGCCCGTCACCTCCAGTAGGTTCAAACGGCGGACCAGCTCTCCCCCCAGCTCGCCACAGCACAGCCCTGCCCTGCGAGACTTTGGAAAGCAAAGCGATGGAAAAACAGTGTGGACCGATGCAGTGCTGAGCTCCAAAAAACCCAAATTAGAAAGTCATAGCAGCTCGCCAGCGTGGAGTTTGTCTGGGAGAGAAGACTCGAGAGAAACTGTGAGTCCGCCCTCCTTTGATGACTATAAAGTCTCTAAGGAGTGGGCGGGTGGTCCTCCTTTTAGCAATGTGTGCAACCAGCAGCCCCTGGACCTATCCAGCGGGGTGAAGCAGAAGGCTGAGGGGGCAGGCAAGACTCCGGTCCACTGGGAGTCTGTGCTGGATCTCAGTGTGCATAAAAAGCCTTGTGGCGACTCTGAAGGGAAGGAAGTCAAGGAAAACCATGCGATGCCGCCGGCCTGCAGTGGCGTCAAGAAAAAGAAACCGACCACCTGCATGCTGCAGAAGGTTCTTCTCAATGAGTACAACGGCATCGATTTACCTGCAGAAAATTCTCCAGACCTGCCCAGCAGCCCGAGTCCTTGTAAATCCCCAGACCCCCAGCCGGGTCCTGAGCGTGGGCCCGATGCCAGTTTACCTGCCTCCGCTGCAGCCGAGTCCCCGCCAGATGCTGCCCCACCCTCCCCCGCCCTCCAGACATCTTCCCTCTCCTCCGGGCAGCTGCCTCCTCTCTTGACCCCCACGAAGCCCCCCTCGCCCCCGCCTTGCCCTCCCGTGTTGACTGTCGCCACGCCCCCCCCTCCTCTCCTCCCTACTGTGCCTCTCCCGGCCCCTCTCCCCGCGCCTCCCCCCGCCCCTGCCCCTCCCCCCTCTCCAACGCCGCTGCGCAGTCCCCACTGCCGATCCTGTCGCCCACGGTGTCCCCCTCCCCGTCCCCCATTCCTTCTGTGGAGCCCCTCGCCTCCGCCGGGTCCCCCGGGCCCCCCACGCTCTCTTCCTCCTCTTCGTCCTCCGCCTTCTCCTCCTCCTCCTCCTCCCCCTCGCCCCCTCCTCTCTCCGCAGTGTCCTCTGTGGTGTCCTCTGGGGACAATCTGGAAGCTTCTCTCCCCGTGATCACTTTCAAGCAGGAGGACTTAGAGGGTGAGGGCCCGAAGCCCAGGGAAGAAGGCCAGTCTGTCGTCGAGCAGGACATCGGCCCGGAGACGTTCAACAAGAACTTTGTCTGCAATGTCTGTGAATCACCTTTTCTTTCCATTAAAGATCTCACCAAACATTTATCTGTTCATGCTGAGGAATGGCCCTTCAAATGTGAATTTTGTGTGCAGCTTTTTAAGGCTAAGACTGCTTTATCCGAACATCGCTTTTTACTTCATGGAGTTGGGAATATCTTTGTGTGTTCAGTTTGTAAAAAAGAATTTGCTTTTCTGTGCAATTTGCAGCAGCACCAGCGAGATCTGCACCCGGATAAGGTATGCACACACCATGAGTTTGAAAGTGGCACCCTGCGGCCCCAGAACTTCACTGACCCCAGCAAGGCCCATGCGGAGCATGTGCAGAGCCTGCCCGGAGAGCCTCTGGAAACTTCGAAGGAAGAGGAGGAGTTAAACGACTCCTCTGAAGAGCTGTACACCACCATAAAAATCATGGCTTCTGGAGTGAAGACGAAAGATCCAGATGTTCGGCTGGGCCTCAATCAGCATTACCCGAGCTTTAAACCACCTCCATTTCAGTACCACCACCGAAACCCCATGGGTATCGGCGTGACGGCCACAAATTTCACCACCCACAATATTCCCCAGACCTTCACCACTGCCATTCGCTGCACCAAGTGTGGGAAGGGCGTGGACAACATGCCTGAGCTGCACAAGCACATCCTGGCTTGCGCGTCGGCCAGCGACAAGAAGCGGTACACCCCCAAGAAGAACCCGGTGCCGCTGAAGCAGACCGTGCAGCCCAGGAACGGGGTGGTGGTCTTGGAGACCGCTGGGAAAAACGCCTTCCGCCGCATGGGGCAGCCCAAGCGACTGAACTTCAGCGTGGAGCTCAGCAAGATGTCGTCGAACAAGCTCAAACTAAACGCGTTGAAGAAAAAAAATCAGCTTGTCCAGAAGGCGATCCTTCAGAAGAACAAATCTGCCAGGCAGAAGGCCGATTTCAAGGCCGCGGCCTCGGCGTCCTCGCACGTCTGCCCCTACTGCAGCAGAGAGTTCACCTACATCGGCAGTCTGAACAAGCACGCCGCCTTCAGCTGCCCCAAGAAGCCCCTTTCTCCTTCCAAAAAAAAAGTGTCTCATTCGTCCAAGAAAGGCGGACATGTGTCACCTGCAAGCAGTGACAAAAACAGCAGCAGCAGCCGCCGCCGGACCGCGGACGCGGAGATTAAAATGCAGAGCACGCAGGCCCCTCTGGGCAAGACTCGCGCCCGCAGCTCCGGGCCTGCACCTGCCCCCCTGCCCACCTCGGCCTTCAGGTCCAAGCAGAATGTTAAATTTGCCGCTTCGGTAAAGGCCAAAAAACCAAGCTCCTCCTTAAGGAACTCGAGCCCCATCAGAATGGCCAAAATAACGCACGTCGAGGGGAAGAAACCCAAAGCTGTGGCCAAGAACCATTCCGCTCAGCTCTCGAGCAAGACGTCTCGGAGCCTGCACGTGAGGGTGCAGAAGAGCAAAGCCGTCTTACAGAGCAAGTCTGCCTTGGCCAACAAGAAAAGAACAGACCGGTTCAATGTAAAATCTAGAGAGCGGAGTGGGGGGCCCGTCACCCGCAGCCTGCAGCTGGCAGCCGCTGCCGACCCGAGCGAGAGCAGGCGGGAAGACAGCAGTGGCAGGCAGGAGCTGAAGGACTTCAGGTAAGCGCTGCCTCCAGGGCCCAGGAGTTCGGAGCTCAAGAGCCGGGGGCGGGGGACGAGAGGAGCGGGGAGAAGGTGGAGGCAGGAGGCCGTCCGCTTCACTTGGCTTTCCCCCCTTTTCCCTGTGTAACCGGCCTGAGCCGTGGCAGGAGGAAGTGGCTGTTGCTTGAGGTGTAGGCCTGAGGAAGGGGCCGGGCTTTGGCTGCCGTAAAGATGAACGCTCAGCATCTGTCTCAGACCCAGGACTCGCCAAGGGGCACCGTTTCTTTGCATAGGGCCAGGTGTGACTTGAATTTGAAACCATGGACGAGCTCTCAAAAGTACCCACTTAGGAAAAGATGAGATTCACTCAGACTTCCTTCATCCTCATGGCACTTGTGTCATTTCCAGCTCACAGATCATTTCTTCCTCTAAGACCATCCCTGAGTTCATTAAGACCATACTGCACTCCTGCTTGAGCTCTGTGGCCTAAGCACAGTTTAGAAGTGACTGAGCATACCGCGATCGCGCCTGCTTTCCTTGTCACACTCGCCTCACTGGCTGAAACCAAACCAAGCGCCATATTCCCTTTCAGATGCCTTACGCCTGTCCCTCCAGTCTCGGCGGTAGGGGGACGAGCCAGCTTCCGGGGCAGAGGAGCGGGAGGGAGGGCTCGGAGCCCCGGGAGGCCAGGCCGCTGTGGCCAGGGCGGGTCGGCCTCTCCCGCCAGTGCCTTTGATTCCCCAGCAGTGATAGAAGAATTCGCCTTAGGTGTGGGGTGCTGTTACTGCTGGAGTCGGTGCGCTCCCTAGAGGAGGAGCTGTTCTTGGTGACAGATGGCAGCCCTTGGGTAGTAGTGAAATTCCTCCATCGACTCCTCAGACTTCCTAGGTCGCTTCTGTGGTTGGAGTTGCTGTGCGCCCCCGGGAGTCCTGCTACTTCCTCGGTGATGCCCACTGGTCTCACCTATGGAATTAGTCGTCAGCTAGAATTCCTGCAAGGTAATTTATGATCTGGGCTGCTCGGAGGGAGCGGCCTGATCTGAGGCTCTCTTGGCAATAACTTTCTGTGTCTGGAATCCTTTGGTGTTTGAAGAAGAGCGGGTCAGAGTCCGCGTGCCCGGGAGGACCGTTAGCCTTGACAGGGACAAGGTAGCACTTGGTACTGGTGCCTCCAGTTGGGGCCGGAGAGCAATGAAGAGAAAAATCATGAGCCAAGGCTGGCTGGAATGGTCTGCTGTGGGAATAATTTGTAAATGTCTTCAGTGAGTTGCTGTAGCTTTTGTCAGGGGCTGGTGTGGGCCATGCATCTACATAGGTAGCTTCTGGAAGCCTGTTCTCCCCGTGAGAAGTAGCAGCTGGTGTCAGCTGTCAGGGCTGCGGCCTGTAGTGGGCACCCGTGTGCCTGTCCGTGCCCACAGTGGCTGGACAGTCTAGATTGGAGGGCATTTCCAGTTGCTTCTCAATTACAGAATCACTGGCCCACGGGCCGTTAAATGCCTTCTGCCCACCCCTCCCCGCATCATGAATTCCTGCCTGCGGTTGACGCTTTAGAATGGACTTTGTGTGTCCGCTCTCGTCTCCGATAGTCTCTGAGAGACTCACTTATTTGGGTCTGGGTCCCATTTAGACAGTTTGAGGGTAAAGTTGGTATCAAAAATTAAGTACTTCTGTGAGAGAGAAGCTCCCAGCGACCACACATTTATGAAGTCTGTTAGCCTCTTCCTCATCCAGTGCTTTTTGATGACGCAAAGGACCAGTGTGCCTAATAAAATCGTTCTCTCATCTTTGTTTTGGTTAATTTTAATTATTTGGCTTTGTGTGATGGTGAGTAGAGTGTTGCTTGGCTGGAATGAAATTTGGCATCAAAGGAAACAGAAGAATCAGGCAAGCAGGCCTTGGTGGTGTTGGGCTGGCAGAGGCGGCGGGGACGCCCCCGAGGGAGGTGTGCATCACGTAGGGTCACCTACAAGTGACCCTGATCTTGTGGAGTGTGCGTATATCTATATCGAAAGCCAGATATCATTTGGCTTTCGATATTTATGTAAACGGAGCATGATATTTTGTTTCTAGACCCGAGAGTAGGCATTTCTTCAGAGTTCGTTGTGGTTTTCTTAGCCCCTTGTAATGAATCGGGTGTGAAGCCAGGAGGCCTGACCTCAGCCAGGGAAACCACGCAGTGTCTGCCCACGGAGCGTGTGGGGAGCGGGGGCTCTCCTCCCTGCGCCCTTGCTGTCTGCTGCTTGTCAGTTTCACCCAGGGGCGACTTCTGGCGGAGTCTGCAGATGCGCTCGCTCTCGGTGTGTCACCTCACGTGTCTTGTGGCGGATTCTCGGGCCAGGCAGCGCCTTTGCTGTGTCTCTCTGCCGCGCTGTGATGAGGAGCTTGTCCCCGACACTCAGACATGGAATGCCAGACACATTTGGGTGCCAGTGAGGACGCCACACTTCTCTAGTACATGCTTGCAGCCAGCTGTGTGGGTGACGTCAGTTTCCCCTGGGGCGCCCGGGGCTCAGAATTTGCTGGTCAGGCATTTCCTGGAGCATGCACTCCGGTGCCCAGGCGGAGTGGAAAGAGTGGGCCCTCCAGCGCCTTTCTGAGGGCTGAGGAACCAGAGCCACCTGGCCTGGCTCCCAGCCCCAGCCCCGGCTGTGCTGCTCTGCTCCAGGGCCCAGGACGGCGGAGCCTGCTTGTGGCCCGCGGGGCTGAGCTGAGGTCTGGGGCTGAGCGCTCACCCCCGGGGCGGGAGGACAGGACCGCTCTCCACTCCCTTTTATCCTCTCTGGCTCATAAGCTCCAAGGTGTTTCCACATCCTGCAGTGCCTCCTTTCACATGCTTTGGGGTTGGGCCTCTTCCTTTGGGGTTTTCTTTTTTTTTTTCTTTTCACTGCTGCAGTCCCACCGCAGCCGGTCAGTGACACTTAAAGATGAAGACGCAACGTGCGTTTCCAGACTGAGTTTTCCCGTTTCCATGAATTGATTTTAAAAACAGTGATGCTAGTTGCCCTGGCTCCTCCTCCGCCCCGTTAGCGCCAGGGGTGGCGCGCCCCAGGCTCGGGAGTGGGGCCGCGTTCTACGGGCCTCATGGTCATTCCGTTGCTGTCTCAGTGACGTTGGTCTTCTGGTCGACTCACCTTTTCTTTCACATGGTCAGTTCATGTACAGTTGTGTTATGTTGTCATTTATCTTCAGTTTTCTTATTTTCTAGGAACTTCCTGTAGAAAAGCCCCCAAACAAAACAGCCCTTAATTGACTAAACACAGATCTTGCATGCGCAACTTAGGATAAGCACTACGGCAAAGGACACGCAGTCTGCCAAGCTTGCAGGACCAGTCGAAGCTGACTCAAAACCCTTACACAGCCGCTCGCCCCGGTTAGAGCCAGGCATCTGCTCCCCGCCGGTGCCTGCCACACGTGCTGGGCTCCCGGGACCGAGCTCCAAAGAGGAGGGCACTGGCTGGTCGTCACGGCACCGGTAACTCAGACCCGAGTGTGGCCTTTGTTTTTGGCAATGGCAGAGAGAGGAATGATTTGAACTTAACCTTGCAAAGCAAGTTCTGTTTTATCTGTAGTTTGTTGTAGATTTCAGGGATGACAAATTTTGATGCACTCGTTTTAAAAATGTTTTGGTCACACACCAGCTCTTGATGCCTTTCTTTTAAATTAATTGTAGACAGAGAGAGAGAGGCATGTAGCTTCTCTCTTAGCCTGTTTTTGTTTTTTATCACAAGCAGATTGCCAGCATAATGGAGAGGAAACCAGGTTGGATATGGCCCTTTGTTTTTTTAAGGCTGCCTCCAGTGTCACATTAAATAGCCAAATGGACATTGTCCTCTCAGGTCATTATCTGGCACTAATTTATAACTCCCGTATTATTGAGACTATGTAGCAATCCGCCAGTGCCCCGGATGCATCACAGACCTGTAGAGATGTGTCTACACGTAAGTATAGATGGATTTACATCCCAGGGTTCACACATCAGTGTCACAGAGATGAAAAAGCGACAAATTGACCTCTTCCTGAATGTAGAAGTGTCGTTTCTCCATGCATTACATGCCTTCCCCCGAATTAATGACTGAGTTGGTGGAAAATAACTAGGTTTATTCATGGTTTTTTTTTTGTTTGTTTGTTTGTTTCTTGTTTTTGTTTTTTTTTTTTTTTTTTTTGTTCTCAACTTTAAAAGTAATCTACCTCTTACAATGTGTAGCTGAAGACTTGTTTGGTGAATTTGTGCCACTTTAACCTTTTCACTATCATTCCCATTTTGTTACATTTCTGTTATGGGGACTTTATGTTGGAATATTGTATAAAGCATTTGTAGCAGTTTAAAAATAAAATATTTAAAATTATTTAAATTGTTTTGGACGCTTCAATTGTATTGTATGTGATTCACATCTTACATTTTTTTGTTTGAGTTGTTAATCGGGAGCGTGTGCTTGTATTGAAGTTTGCTGTTAGTTATTTTATTGTTTCCTGTTGGAGAGTGATATAAAAGACTATTCTAATGAAAACATTAAAATTTACAATTTGACACACAAAAGGGGTTGTGCGTTGATTTTAACCAGCGTAGCCTTGAGAGAGGGCGAGAGAGAGGTTCGTGATGGGTAGCCGGGAGTGCTGTCTGCTGCCTTACCCTTCCAGCATGAAATAAATCATTGGAGCTTGTCAGATGTATACAAAATTTTTTTGATGCTTTTATTAGCAAGCACTTAATAACTAGGGGAAATTCAAATGATACGTTTTATATCATTGTAACCAATAAAAAGACTTTATAAAGCCTTGTGGAAGGACTGCATTTTGTACAGCATGCGAGCAGAGAGCTCCCCCGCCCTCCCTGCCTCTGCCTGGGCCACCTCTTCCTCCTGCCTCTGCCTGGGCCACCTCTTCCCGGGACTGCTTGGTGTCAACTGTTTCAAACTGCTGGTACCCCCTGGAGCACACGGGCCCAGGAGCTCCCGGGGGGAGCGTGCTTCGGAAAGCGCGAAGTAAAGCTTCCCGGGTGGGGTCTCCGCCTCTCCAGGCTGGCTGCCCACCTCTTCTGGTTTGGGGACTTTGTCGTTAGAGAGATCCTTGAAGAATGAAAGAAATGGCAACATTTGCATTCAGTTTATATGAACTTGCTGCTGGTGGTTTCTTTTTAAGTGGAAAAAAAGGGTTGACTGTAAGCATCTTCATCGGGACTGACACGGTAGCCCTTGTCCTCGGGCGGGCGGTGCGGCCGAAGGCCCGCGCCTCACACTCCTCACTCGTGTTAGAAAAACCCAGGGCGGAAGCGGCGAGGGGTTGGTGGAGCCGCAAAGTAGCTTTTAGCTGGTGGTTTTACATGCAGTGCCGCGCTGAGGAGGCTCGGGAAGAAGGGGGTTTCCGTGCCGGCCCATCGGCCTGCCTTTTCCCCCACGCCTCAAACCGCCCCCCCACCCCGCCCCGTTACCCCTCCCTGTGCCCCTCCATCCCTCCATCTACCCCTTGGTGCCTCCACCCAGCCTCAGCCCCCACCCCAACCCACCCCCAACTCCTCCTTGCTGTCAGGGAACAGGCATCTAACCAGCACCTTCTCTGGTGACTTCGTCTTGGGCGAGTTATTTTACTTTCTGGATCTTAGTTCCCAGTCAGCCCAAAGTGGGGAACGGGTTGGAGGGTCTTTTTCCTCTTAGAAGGTGGCCTCTGGCTCTCACCGCAGCTGGTCACACGTCTGTCCTGTTTGCATGACCGCGTCCCCAGGAAGGACGTGCCCACTTCAGTCCCTTGTACTCTGTGGAACCGAACATTTAACATTTGTTAAGCAAATGAGCTGGTCTTAGGCCCCTGCTCCCCTCTAGCTGCATCTCACTGGCTGATGACTGACTCCTCTCTATACTGACCTTCAGTGGGGTTGCAGGTTGCAGCAAGGCCGAACCCCAGCTGTACACCTAGCTCCTTCCTGTTGAAGACCTGTCACAGCTCTGCCAAGACCGGGTTGTCAGGAAGATGCATCATATGTGAGTGAATATCTGAATGACTGCAGACTTCAAAACTTGGGCTAAAGTGACTTCTAAAATTATAGCTTATTTAATACATTTGATATTTTATTCATGTGAGATTTTATATCAACCTCACTTTGAATAGAGGAACTTGTAGTCATAAAAATTTAAAGGCCAATTTAAAGCCCAAAGTGAGTGGGTAATTGCAATGCCCACGTGTAAAGTCCCCCGAAGACCAGCTGACGGTCACAGAATAGTCTGCCATTCCTCCCATTTGGGGAGGACCAGCCACCTGTGGCTGGGGCCTCTTGCGCCCTGGTGCCAAACCTGGCTGCCTCCGGGCGCTGCGCTCAGGAGCATTCTGGTGAAGCGCTCGCTACCGAGGGTGTGGTGAGCTGGGGGCGTGTGGACAGGCCAGCCGTCCTGAGGGGGGGGGGTAAGGCGGGAGAGTGGGGGTCACCTGTCTGTGAGGCGTGTGCTGGGCACAGATGGCCCCCGTGAGAGCCCCACCCCGGGTCCTGGCCAAGCGGTTTTTCAGCCCTGAGGGCCACACTACCAGCTCCACCCACCGCCAACCTTTCAGTGGGCTCTGCGGGTGGGGTCTGGGGCACTCCCAAGATTTTCTGAATTTATGTGGCAGAGAGAATCGCGGTTGTGGGTGGCTCTTAATACTTTAGCGCTTGCCTGTGCTCACTCAGGCCTCAGGCGCCCTGCAGGTTGGCGGTTACCTTCTCCCTCTTCCCAAAGGCTGGGTGCTGAGGAGCGCACCCACTGGGTGCTGAGGACCCTGTGGTTTATGGAGAGAAGAGGTGAGTGGCCCAGAGGACAAAGGAACAGCTGAGCTGGCAGTTTCTCCTGTTCACCCTTTATTGCGGAGGCCAGAGCCCCTGTCAGCCCCTCCCTCCTGGTGCTTTGACCTTTTCCCAGGGGAGTGTCTACCCGGCGTGAGAGCCACATTAACCATAAAATTTCTGGGGCCCGAGAACCCTGGTGCCCTTCTCACTCCCGTCTCAGCCCTTGTCACGTGATAAAATGTAGGGTGAATCTGGGGGCTTCCTGTAGGCTGGGTTTGTGCTGAATGACCTTCGGGTTGAGCCTCTGGATCATTTGCAAGTGGGGAGACACCCTGGGGGGTGTTGCACAGGGCAAACCCCGCCCCCCACCCCCACGTCATGGTGGGGCTTGGATTCCCTCCAGGCGGCTCCAGCCTACTGGTCCTTTTATAAAAACCTCCTTTCCTCCCCTTGCAGGACACAGGCCTTACTCCTTCTCTAAGGACTCTTCTGGCACAGCAAGCGGCTGCTTAGGGAGGAGTGGTCCTTTCGAAGACTCATCCCCCGTCAAAGGGGCTGTGCTCCACCCTGTTACACGCCTAGCCAGGCCCCGGGGTCGGGGAGACTGTAGGTCCCTCTGGTTTCTCAACAAAATCCTGCTTCAGGGGAATCAAGCTCATTTTTGCCTCTTCTGATGGTGAAGGTGGATGGAAAAGAACCATTTTAAAGGAGGGGCTGGGGGCTTTGGTGTGTCCTGTGTGCCTTGCATGCCTTGACCTGGGGCATTAGCCCAACATGAAAGTTGACCTGGCCTCGCCCTCCCACCTTAACAAACAGTGCTTTATGTGCAAGACAAAGGCCTCCCTTGGTGCCTTACTGAATTCCTCAAGTCTAGGATTAGAACCTGGGGGTGGGGGTAGGGGGTGGGGTGTGTGTGTGTGTGTGTGTGTGTGTGTGTGTGTAGGTTTTATTTACTCTCTGGATTAAGAATCAGAGTTGGGGAAAGCATCACAACTGCATTAAATGACTTGCAGTTGCAAACATTACATTCTGTTGAGTCATAAAAGGGGACTTGGGGAGATGCTACTAACTAGACTCTTGGGGTCCCAGGGTTTGTGCCTGCCTGGTTGCTGTCCCACTGCCTCAGAAAGTGATAGAAATTCAGGTGATGTTGCAGAGGGCACAGGCGTCTGACGGGAAAAGTGGCCGAGCCCACGTCCTGCTGAGGGAGGGCCAGCCAGAGTCCATCTTTTGGACGTTATTTGATCGGTTATTGAGGTGCGCAGTGAAGGGGAGACGTGGGGAGGCACTTGGGTCACAGCCCCAGGTGGATTTTCTAGTCCAGGTTTGTGTTCTGAAGATGTACTTGAGATGATTCCCACTGCAGTGTTCAGACAGGCGCCTACGGGATCATCTCGAGTTGTACTTAGATGGAAATTTTAAATGCAGATGCCTTTTTAAAAAAAAAGACCTGGAATTTATTGCACAGGTAAGTTCCCATCCAAAGGGGGTTTAGGCCTCGGGGTGCAGATTCGGCGCTTTTTGACTTCAAAAATAGAATTTCAGTATAAAATAAATGCGTTTGTTTTCGTCTTTAATCATCTCCAAACATACAGTGTCATAGTCTCGGTTGGGGTGACATTTATTTAAAACTCACGTGGATTCAGTTTTCCTCGCAGTAACGTCCTCTCTCCACTTGCTTTTTACAATCACGCGCAATCCCTGCCAGCCCGGCCCGGCAGGAGCCCTTGCAGACGGCGGCTGTCTCCAGGCTGTTGCTGGACTCGTGAGGCGGGCACACTCTCCCGCAGGGATGCAGTTTTCCGCCAGCCATTCAGAAATCGTCTGTAATGGTCAGCCTGGACCACGGAGGCCTCGGAGCTGCCGGGCTCTGTCCTGGGGGGTGGCAGGCTGGGAGGAGGGAGCTGGGGGCTGGGGTCCTGACCTTACCTGCCTGGGGCCTGCCAGGGCTTCCTTCACCTGACGCTCTCCCGCCACCTGAGGGAGGTGCTGTTCTTTGTGGATAAGTCACCCGGTCTGAGGAAGGAGACATCACCTGCATTAGTCGCACAGCTCTTAAGTGGGGACCCCGGACCCCTCTGTCTCATCCAGAGCCTCAAATTCAGTCGAAGCCTCCACCTCACGAGAGCTGGGGTTTCACACTGACGTCACTGCCCAGAGGGCCTTGGTAGCAGAGGTCAGAAGCCTGGCGGGGCTAAGCGTCGGCCTCGACGCCCGGGCCGGTGTGCGGAGGGCGGGCCCCCGGGTGTAGGTGGCTGCGCGGCGCCAGTGCACGCGCCCGTCGGGAGGCCCGTAGCTGGCGGCCGCGGCGGTGCCGGCGCTGGTGTTCCCCGGTGCCCAGGGGAAGACCCAGGGAGGGCAAGGCTGGGTTCTGTGGCCCCCTTGGCGGGGCACAGCCCGGATGACGGTGACTGAGGCGCCTTCGGGCAAGGCTGCTGAAGGCGCTGCTCACGCTTTTGCAAAGACTGAAAGGGAAAAAGACCCTCGTGGGCGTGGACAGGCAGCCCCTTCTGTTACCCGGAGAGCGTGGCTTCTACCTCTCGTGAGGGTAGAACTTGAGTTGCTAAATGCTTTCAGGATGCCCCCCACCCCCTGCCCCGAGCTGGGCAGAGCAGGTGAGCGGGGCCTTGGGGTGCGGGCTCCGTCGAGTGCGGGGGCTGCCCGAGCAGGCCCAGGCATCCCCCTGCAGCTCCAGGCGGCTTGCTGCGCTCACACCAGAGCCAGAGTGAAGGCTCGGGCTCGTGTGCACGAGGGTGTGCGGGGCGGTGGCACAGGCCCGGTCAGGGGGCGTGCTGTGGCCTCCCGGCAGGTTGCTGTGGGTGAGGACGCTGGCTCCCGGCCCTGGTGCCTCATGCTCTCCACCCGCCTGCGAGGCCGCCCTCCCTGCTCTGTTTGTCTGCGTTACGTCTGTTTACTGGATGTCTCCCCTCCTAGAATGAGTGTCTTCCTGGGGCAGGAGCTTGATTTTGTTCATGGCCACAGGTCCAGCATCTGGAATGACTGCCTGGCACGTAGTAGCTGCTCAGTAAATACCGTTGAACGGATAAAATATTCGCATCCTGCCCCTTTCTCGTGCTGGCGACCTGGGCAGGTTCCTTCACTTCTCTGAGCCCCAGTGTTCCTTTCTGTACGATGGCAATCATGACCAGTGTCGCCACAGCGGAGGGTGACATGGGGACCACGGGTAAGCCTGTGGGTCCACCGAGGCACCTGGGAAGTGTCAGTTCCCGCCATCACTGCTTCTGCTGAGCTCCGCCCTGAAGCTGCTCGGGGCTGACGTGCCACAGGCAGCCCTGGCCAGGGCCCGGGTGTTGGGGGCTGGGGTCCAGCACCACCTCATCCCTGGCTCGGAGGGATGCTCGCGGGGCCCAGAATTCCTTCTGTTAGCGGCCCCCACCCCGGGACCTTTGCGATGCGGCGGGGGGGCCAGGGCTTAGCCAGATCTGAGCTGCACCCTTTGAAAGAGAACAGGCTGTGGAGCAGCAGGTCACTTTCCAAATCAAGGTAAGAAAAGAGACGGTTTGGAACTTCAAAGCCAAGTACCAATTTTTGAAAGGTTCAGAAGAAAACAGGTTCATCAGCTC